GTATCACTAATCAGTACATACTCACTCTTGTGCAGCGAACTTTCAAGCTTGACATCGACTTATACGAGGTATACAAAACATATGAATATGAAGATCAAAGCTGATAGCAAAATAAAAAATATCGTGCCAAGACCCAAGACCTTTAAAATAGGCGGATGGCATTGAAACCTGGAAGGGAAATGCTATCGGCCTTGTCGATCCCGCTGCGGGGATCCTGACACCGCCTAGGGCGCAGCACAAGTGCAAACTCACTCACTTGACTGAACCTGTGGCTCGTTTCCTACAACTTCATTTTTCCTATCCCCGTCAGAAAGAACCGTATTGTACAAGTTTAGGCTTGCTCCTAGTCACCCACTCATCTGGTTTATTGCCACTCGTTTCGATGTCACGTATGACGTTCGACCCTCTCCGCCTTTGATAAACCGTCACTAGCTGCTTACTGTTACTACGATCTGGTTTCCAGTATATGTCGCGCTCTACCTGAGCTTTCTTACTGTCTTTCTGGTTTTACCAGACTAGGAAGCGATGGACGACGCGACTAGCTCGTTGGCTTCGATAGCTACAACCACGCTTATCGCTGCTACCAGCACCCGAGCCATTCCAACACCCTCGGGTGCACACACACTATACTATCATGGAACAAATTCTTCAAGTCCAGGGCAGGATCCGAATGATGAAGGAGGAGAATGCAAGCTGCTTGGTCCATTCTCTGTGTTTGTTCAGATTGCTCTTGGCAGCCTCGCATTATCATCTCTAGTCTACAAGAGATGGAGAGAACGACCACAGCGCCCGATGAAGATCTGGGCCTTTGACGTCTCAAAACAAGTCTTCGGATCTGTCATGCTTCACATGCTGAATCTTGTCATGTCAATGTTTTCTGCGGGCCAACTGGAGATTCGAAGCGCATACAAGCCGAACCCATGCTCCTTCTACTTACTGAACCTGGGAATCGACGTGCGTCTCTACTGATCTTACTTTGATCTCTATTGAGGAGCTGCTAGCTAACTGACGGAACAGACTACCCTCGGTATCCCCATTCTGATCCTCCTTCTCCGCGTTCTCAACCATTTGGCATCCTACACACCTCTTGCAAACCCCCCAGAATCGATAGAGTCGGGAAATTATGGCCGCCCCCCACGCGTAACATGGTGGCTTAAACAGGCGATCGTTTATTTCATGGGATTGCTCGGCATGAAGATATGCGTATTCTTCCTCATCGAGCTCTTACCTTTCATTGTCAAGGTCGGCGACTGGGCTCTAAGGTGGACAGAAGGCAACGCTGCTGTCCAGATCTTCTTCGTCATGCTTCTTTTCCCAGTCATCATGAACGCCATGCAGTATTATATCATCGACATATTCATCAAGAAACCGGTCTCACAGTATGTTGTGGACGACACAATTGGAGATGCTATCACAGATGATGATGCTCACCGCCGGGAGGCTCTTCTTGCTGGCCTGGACGAGTCATACTCGACTGATTCTGATGATGAAGAACCTGGGAAATCTCCGACAACCGCCTCTCAACCGAAGGCTGCTGCAGATGGTCTCCAAGAATCTGAGCATTTACTACCTGAGGATCACAATCCTGTCCCTCCATATGCACCTCCGAGTCCGGGTAGCAGTGGTGACGAACATGACCCGAAAGCTACTTCAGCACGTCACTAAATATTGCTTTGTGTTTTGGTTTTGAAAATCTCATATCTGCTTTGTTTTAGTGTTAATAGTGGTCTTGACCGTGTATACAATTATTTCGCTCTTGCATCTTACTATGATTATTGTCGGTTCCCCTACAACCTAGTGTGCACACATCTAGGTTGTGCATTTGGATAACGGTTAGTAATATTACTCGTAATTGATCATTTGCTAGTCACAATCAACCAACTGTTGAGACGTCCTAGTCATCTAGACTAATATTGAACCAACTAGTGTCTTTTATTCTGTCTACTTCTCCATCTTCCTATAATGGTCCTTACTGCCTCTTTCATATACGAAAGAGGACTCTTTAGCTCTAATAATGGCCCTTCTGATCAATTTCCTCCAGCTAGAAGATGAAAATGGTGTCAAATGAGTGTATTAAAGCTCAGGTGGATGATATTTCATTTGTTGCCTTACAGCCAAGGCAACAGCATATGCCGCCTTCCACACCGCTCTGATCTGCCGCTTCTGGAAAAATCAAAGAAGAAAAATATTCTAGCTCCGCCTGAGGAACATTCGCAGCCTACAGTTGTGTTATCGCATTCAAGTGTCAATTTGGTGACCAAGTCTGCAAGCAGCCGTGCTTTATTGGCAGATACCCTTACACCAACCACCATGCCTAACGTAGGGCTAAAAGAAAAGTCCAAGCGGACGAGCAGCGGGTCTCCATTCGAGAACACTACGGCCGATCTCCGCCCAGAGGACTCAGATGTCGAGATGGGCGACGAAACTAGCTCGGATGAGGACGACGTGCCCGTGAAAGATGAGGCGGAGAAGAAGCTAGAGCGCATGCTTTTTGGCGACGATGAGGGGTTCATGGGCGCATTGAAGACCCAGCAGGACCGCGAGGCCGGTATGGCTCTCACTCTGCACAGTGATGACGAGAGCGATGCTAGCGAAGATGCCGAGGATGGCGAGGGCCAAGATTTGGCTGCTCTAGCCGATTCAGACGTATGCGACTCCACTCCCATGCGTTCACCGATCTCAGGCTTTCGATCTAACAATTCTGCTTTCATCTAGCTTTTCTTCCTTGACTCTGGTGCACCCCCTACCACTGATTTTATTCCATCACCGGAAACCCCGTCGGAGGCCGAGGACGAAGAAGAGGACGAACCCGCAGTATGGTATGATAGCGACGACGACCGCCTCGCAGTGTCGCTAGCAAGCCAAGCCAGGCTGCGCAAACTGCGCGACACCGAGACCGAAGATGTAGTCAGCGGCAAGGAATATGTCCGACGACTGCGCAGACAGTTCACACGCCTGCACCCAACACCAGAGTGGGCCACGCCGGAGCTCAAGCGCCGCAAGACTGACTCGGACTCGGACGCAGAGCAGGAAATCGACTCGGACGACGAGAACGAGAACCTCTCCATGCAGCCTCTAGCCAAGCTCCTCCAAAACGCCTCCGACCTGACGCGCATAGAAGACAACGCACGCTCGGGCGGGAAGCGCAAGCTGCGCCAGGAAGTCATCGACATCCAGAGACTGAAGGACATCGGCAAATCCCAACCCTCCTCCGTCGATTCCCTGACCTTCCATCCGCACTACCCACTCCTGCTCTCCTCCGGACCAGCTTCCACCCTCTTCCTACACCACATCTCTCCCTCCGCGCCCGCCCCAAATCCCCTCCTCACCTCCCTGCACATCAAGCGCACACCAATCCACACGTCTGCCTTCGCCGCACCTACAGGCAACAAAATCTTCGCCTCGGGTCGCAGGCGCTACTTCCACATCTGGGATCTGGACACCGGCAAAGTCGACAAAGTCAACGGCTCCTCCGACCGCAAGGAAGAGCAAAAGTCCATGGAGCGCTTCAAGCTCTCTCCGTGCGGCCGCTTTGTCGGCCTAGTCGGCACAGCCCGCAAGGGCGGCGGTCTGATCAACGTCCTGGACGCGAACACCGCGCAGTGGATCGCGCAGGTGCGCGTCGACGGCCGCGGGGGTGTCGCAGACTTTGCTTGGTGGTCTGACGGCGAGGGTATGACAGTCGTGTCAAAGAACGGTGAGGTCTCTGAGTGGGATGGACGTGTAGGCCGGGTAGTGGCGCGTTGGGTCGATGCCGGTGCTGTCGGCACGACGGTTCTCAGCCTTGGTGGTCGCTCGGGCCGGACTCAGCTTGGTGGGGATCGTTGGGTGGCGATTGGTTCTTCGAGTGGTATTGTCAACGTTTATGATCGTCGCCAGTGGGCGGCTGCGTATGCGAATGCTTCTGCTGCTGAGAAGGATTCCCCGGCTCAGGCGGGTATCCCGCGTAACCCTGACCCTGTGCGTGTGCTCGATCAGCTCACTACCCCAATTAGCCATGTGGTCTTTGCGCCCGATGGGCAGATGATGGTTATGGCGAGTCGGTGGAAGCGTGATGCTTTGCGTCTTGGTATGTTTTCTGGCTCTGCTTGTCTTCGTGTGTTCTTTGCTAACTGTGCTTCTTTTATAGTTCACCTTCCTACCTGCACGGTATACCGCAACTGGCCTACGTCCAACACGCCATTGGGTCGCATTTCCTCGGTGGCTATTTCACCGAATTCGGAGCAGTTGGCTGTTGGTAATGAGCAAGGTGCCATCCGACTTTGGGAGATTCGGGGATAGAGGTCCGATACTGAATAAAATATTTATGTTTTCTTGTCATATATTTACTACCCCGATAGTGGCACATGCTTTTGATTCTGTTGTACGGTCACTGGTAATTAGCGTGGTTTGTTGGTATGTATAAAGTTAGGGCTGCGTCCTTGTATATCAGCCGCTGTCTTTGCCTGGATACTAAGCATCATCCAAACCCAAGCTATCCATTGACTCATTCTACGGCAGTAGATTAAAAGAAAAGCAAATATAATATCTAAGATATAACCAAATATACACCCAATGGTACTTCGTAATAGGCCAATCTTTTTTTTGAGATTGTTTATAGCTTTCCAGCAAAGGTAAAACAAGCGCGCAGAACGCCCAAGATCCAAAAGAAAAGAGTAGAGTAGGAATCAAGCCATAACACGCCATAGAACATGCAATTCGTGTCAAATCAAATGAAGGATCATGATCTCATTCGTGGGAGGGTTCTATACTGTTAGCCTTGGTCAAGGATTTTCAGTAGCAAAGGGGGTATCTGGGGCAAACATCAAAGAAAAAAGCGCATGAAGAAAAAAGATAAGAAACTATGTTAGCAAGAATCGTGGCCAGGCTGCTTTGCTAAATTTAGGCTGGGTATAAATCGGTTGGTTTTCAGAGTATTCCGACCACAGGGAAGGGGGCATGGCAGATAATTCGTAACCGTAACCGATGGGTGAGACTTGAGAGATTGAATGGACGAAAAGCTACTCTCCTTGTCTGCTTGAGCCCCACCGCTGAGGTCGCTTCCCTTGCTCGACATAGTTCTTGATGACACAGGGAGCATGATCTGGGCCCTGACACACCTTGTGGCGGTTGAGATGTTTGAACTTCGGGCCAAGGGGTCCGTTCACGAAGTGGTACTGGCCTGCGAATCGATACTGACGAGAATCGCCTAGTGGGTAGAACTTGTCACCCCAGTGGCCCCTGTAATGGAACCATTCTGTTGGGGCGGAGGGGCTGAAGGTGGACGCCCGCAGATGCTTGTTGTCGAAGTCGTAAGTGTATGCCTTCGTGTTGAGGAGGGGGTCCCATAGTGGGCCGCGGTCGGTTACATCATGCAGCAGTCCCCAGGGGAGAAGGTACTCGTGCACCCCGGCCGTGGCGTACATGGCATGGCTGCCCTCGGCAGAGTAGATGACAGGCTGGCGAGGTAAAGTCAGTGAGATAATACTTACTGCTCGTATCATGTACGTCCTTACCCGTTGTCCGATCTTTTCAACGGCTTCATAGCTGTAAGCCTCTCCCCCTTGGTGGGCGCTGAAGAAGAGCGCTTTCGGTTTGCTATTGTGGAATCGCACCAGACAATGCTCCCAGTCGCCGACGTGATTGCCGAACCGCACGTTGACAACAGTGTTACCGAGATTGAAGCTGTAGAAGTAGAACCAGAATGCATCGACAATTCCGTTGCCTTTGTCCATCACCACCAGGATTGCAGGGGCATCGCTTCGACCACCGGCACCACCATCGTAGATATCCTCTCCACCATAACGTCTGCGAAGCTCCTCTTTGAGTATTTGCTGAGCTTGAAAATGTTCATCGGCGTTGGATTCGTGTACATCGGCAGCTTCTTGTTGCAATTGGTGAAAATCATACCACTTGGCTCGATCTTTCTCCGTATCACCGGGAATATCACCATCGACTCGGCCATCCCAATCAGCCCAGGATTCTTCCTTATCGTTCCCGTATGTTTGCGGGATATTCCTATCGCCCTCCAGCCACGGTGGACGCGTCTGTACATCATCATTGCTCGTCAAGAAAAGGTGCCTGGCCCCCCACTTGTTCAACTCATCCAGATCGCCCAGCGTCGGATGGTCCCATTGAGCCTGAATCGGGGTGTAATTTAGGGTCGGAGTAGTGTGATGCAAGTGCTCTGCGATATCCCCAGGCCAGAACTGCTCGCCAGAATAAAGGTGAACGAGTGGGGCATAGTGGAAAACATAGTCCGGGATCTGCCGCCGAGCCCGCTCTTCGGCATCCCACTCGGACTCACTAGCCCCGCTAATCCAAAAGGACCGCCATGGTGCCTCTGGCTCGGCATCTTGCGCATTTACACCCTCCGGATCGCGAAGCCCGAATTCGCCGTGTACGGTTTGTAAATGGGCTGCACCACAGATGCTGAGCCATCGGCAGGATTTGCGGTCGAACCACGAGCGCGAGCTCGCGATCCAGTCCCGCTCCTCCCGGTCTTCCGCGGACCAGACAAAAGCAGCCGGCCGGAGTGCGTGGATTATGCTGTTGACGGATACATAAGCGATCAGGGTCGAGAGCACGGCAATGGTTGCCTTGGCCTTCCGGGTCATCTGCTGGAGCGAGTCGACATAGACTGTCAGGGCCGAAGAACTATGTGGAGTATGTTCATAGACTGTGATTTCGGGAATTCCAGTCGAGGTTAGTGGTTCAATGCAGTGGGAGTCAAGTGGTAGGGCTGCATCGGCCGGGCATTCCCCAGGAACTATGGTGGGACGAGAGATAACGAAAGTCGGGACAAGGAGGGCGCACAACAGGACCGCGGGGTTACCTATATAGAAACACACAGTCCCTTTGTTAGCCCGGTTTCCCGAGTCCAGCTAGAATTTCCCGAAGAATTCAAAAAAGGGAAAAAAATAAGAAAAGGGACAGGGCAAGGATGACCAATATCTCGAACTAGTCAGTCCGGGAACCTGCGGAAATGCATAGAAATCATAGCCAAGCCGGATGCCATATACCGAGTGCATGGCTTATCCGTCCAAAGCCGGAGCGGAAGAGACGGGGGAACCTACGAATGGATGATCCCATTGTTGTCCAAGTTGTCCAAGTTGTTGCGGTGAAGGTAATGTGGGAAGTTTCATAAGGCTGAAGGAGGAGGGCTGGGCACAACTCTACTGGGTCTAGACAAGATTGTATAACCTTGAATTATACAGATGTACAGCCCCAAAATGATACTTGATAGTTCATTGTGTTAGAAAAAAAGAAAGAAATAAGTCAATTGTCTATTTAAAACCCCCTCCATCTGAAACATAAAAACCATGCACATGTTTATGCACATTTTTGCCACCAAGTCCCCATTTTGTTGATTTTGTCCTGGGGAGAGGGGAAGATCTCACCGCTTGCAGAAAGCTGAGGTCGATCTTATCTCCGGGCTTTTCATTCCAGAGCCCCTTGCAATTCATTACCTACATGTATGGATACAATGGTTGACTCCGAATCCGATGGAGAATATGAGTATGAATATGGTACAGAGACTGAGGTGAGAATAATTGACCCTGTCTTCTCTCAATGCTGCTAATCAAGTGATAGAGCTTTTATCTCAACCTAGACCTCACCGCCCATCATGGCCCAGTGCGCCCTCCACGCCGTCACCCGAAGGAAGCGGGGTCCCTGGAGAATACACAGAACCCTGCAGACGACATGGGCCCAGGATTCCCAAGCGAAGCTTATCCTCCGATCGAGAGCGCCGAGACAAGCAGCCTCCCGAAAGAACGAATTCAAATCCTCGACCTCCACACGAGCAATCCAGTCATTTCATACTACAACCAAATGTTCAGTTGCTCCTGGGCCGATCAAATTGGCACCGAGCTTGTGTTCGTCAGTCCAAGTACAGAAACCGACCCGGACAACGCCTTCCCTCAACCCCTACACCGTGGACCCTCCTACGAACTTGTGGCCGCCAACAGCGTGAAGATCCTCGGTCGGAAGGCACATCTCGCCCCAAGCGCTGGGCCCGGACCAGCCCAAGGCTTTACGGAGGGACCATCAACTACAGGACCTACCCCGGAGTCCGTGTCTTCTCAGAGCGCCGAACCCCTGGCCGTACCTCGTCGTCCCGCAGCCCCATCCCACCAGGCGCAGTTCCTCCACAGGTTGCAGCAGATCAAGAACGCCAAAGGAGAGACCGATGCCGTTCGCACAGTCATGAGCACACGTCGGCAGGTGAATATGACGGACAGACAGCAAGGCTGGGCCCGTACTGAGGCGCAACTTGCTGAGATCGAGCGGCTGAACGAACGTGCGTCTAGAGGGGACTTGGAAGCGAAGGCGACTCTTGAACTGCTGATTCAAGAGCTCAACCAAGAGCTCAATCCCGATGAGGCAGAGTCTGAGTCCGATCCGGAGTTAACGTCTGACAGCGATGATCTTACTTCATGAATGTGAAGATCGATAGTGTACTCACGTCGATACGAAACTCGGGTCTAGACCCTGTACTTTGAGTCGATCATCCGGAGTCTGAACAAGCCACCCGGTTTCCGCATCTCATTGGATCTACGTCGTAGTACGTAGCCGACTTATACTGTCACGTGGAAGTGCCGGGAGCCGGGAACTGAGGAGCAGCACCGGCGAAGAGATATCAATACCCTTTCTGGAAGGAAAAACCTTCTCTTATGATGGAATGTGTCTCGCCCAGCTGATTTTCTCTTCCTACGATATCAGAGGAAATGGCATCACAACCCGGGACATCCCAACAACGAGCAATCACTGGAGGTGACAAGCCCCACCCAACTTGAGCGAGCAAACAGCCCATCGATGGAGCCATCTTAGCTATACTAAAATACGTGGATCTACAGGGTAACGTCATCTATAAGCTCAGTGTAGGAATGAAATTCTTATTCCCCCTAAAAATCACCGATCACGCAAACCATGACACAAACCATATATTGCTCTTCAAACCAATTGTATCCTGTATCTGGTGTTTCCCTTTTGGAATCTAGAACGTCAGCGTAAAGTACAAAACAGGTTGTGTGACCCCGTCTACTTCCACAACGCGAGACGGGTGACGTCGTGATCGGCAGATCTTCACATGCAGCAAGCAGATGTCTCGTTGCTTGCGTTGGACTACAGGTTCCTGGCTGCGTATCTTGTACCATGTAGTTGCTACTTTCCATCTCCGACGCACGAAAATACTTTCAATCATTATATGAGCCACAGTCACACAGTATATCCGACTTCCCGAGGTCGAGTCCGAATACCGGACTACCTGTTTTGCAAGAGCTGTAGTTGTAGCAGTAAAGCCATTGAAGGTAGGACAATATAGAGTCTGTTTACGACATACACACCGTGCAATAATCATAGCAAGAAAAGTTATCGATCGTCACTATCAAGGTAACACAAAAGCCTACATTTAACTGATATATTTAAAAAGGTATCCTATTTCGATTTCTGATTCGGAAAGCCTAGGGAAAAAAAGAAAAATTAAGAACACCAATACCAATTCCCCAGACTTTTAGAAGGCGCCCCATTGCGCAAAACCAGAACCAGATAAAACATGTCCGCGCCGCCATGCAACACGCTAAATCCAACAGGCGACAAGCAAAAGGAAAGATAAAGACAAAGACCCAAAGAAAAAGACATAAGCTAAGAAGCACCACGGATCTCAAGTCAAGGACAAATAGTAAAAAGGGAAGCAAGAGAACAACGGACAGGACGGGTGAATCTGCCAAACAGTGTCCCATATGCCCATGTGCACACGACCATTATCAGGGAATATTGGATGATGGTACAATGATTTCTTGACAAGGCCAAGAAGAAGAAGAAGAAGAAGAAGAAGAAGAAGGAGAAGGAAGAAGTGTTGACAAGAGCCCGAAACCGAGTCAAACAAGAAGAGATAGGATCACTCCAGGCTCAAGCTGGGGATATTATTGTAGCAAGTCTTGCCCTTGGAGAAGGCGACGGGCGATGGCGGAGGCGCGGGAGGCATGCCGTCGATGAGGACTGAGCGGGTCTTTTCTGTCTTTTGGGTTGAGGCTGTCATGGCGCGGGAGATGTCCTGCGACATCGAGAAGGAGGGAGGCATGACGGGGGTTGTGGTTTTGGTTGCGACGGAGGCCATTGTTTTTGAGTGGATTTGGATTTGGATTTCTTGGGGGAGTAGAGGTTGAGAGAATAGATTAGGACTCTTGAGTTGGGTGTTTAAATATGTTGAAGAATGAAGTGTTGGTCTGTTGGGTTTTATAGTTTTATACTCGGGAAAGTATGCAGCTGATCGGCAACCTCGGCTGGGAGAGGAATGTCTAAGGCTAGATCGCTGAGCTGGATTCATGAGATTGATTGTCAGCTTTCTGTTTGTGCAGAGTGCTTGTGCGTTGTACTTGGGTTTGGCATATGCTCCGTATAGATGGAGCTTGTGGCTCCGAACTTGCCCGAGGCCCGGTTTCGGTGGATCGGATCGGAGGGTGCGAGGTGATGTGGCAAGTAGTAACGGGAGTTATACGTACAAGGATCAAAGGAATTGGATTCGGGTATTTGCCAGACGTAATAGTAACAAGTGTTGATGGGAGGAGGAGTGAGCTGTGGTCGTTGAGATGATGGGTTGTAGTTGTGACGGTTGTTGTGAAGAGGCTCAAATAAACTTGACTACTGCAGTGATAGTATTGCTTTGGTAGAAGACTTGAAGACGATCAGAGCGAAAGGTGATAGCAAAGCTGTTGACAGTGCTGAGTATTGTGGTATTTGAAGATAATTTTATCGGTGAATGAACAGAACTAGAAAAAAAGAGTGAGACGATTTCAGGGTGATGGGCCGCTTATATTTTTTTTTCTTCCTGACAATAAATAATAATCCAAAAAAAATGATATGAGACACTCAAAACAGATAATTAAACTAAAAAAGTCATCCCCATAGAAGTGTGGAGGAGTACATTCCCTGGGGAAGCACGAAAGTACCCAGTACACGCATACCTGGCCAGGCCCAATGCTTACTCCCTAGAGATCTGCCTGCCAAGTCTATCCGCCTCATTCTAAACAGCCCAGTAACCCAGCTATCGAGGTAGGGATGGGGACATTCCCCATCGGAACAACGGGAGCCCAACCCGGAAAGCCTGTCGGGGAGAAAAGAAAAACAAAGGAGATGGGGCCTGACGCGTTAGTGTGGGGGAGAAGACCAGGGGCGAGAGTCAACCAATTGATATTATGTATTGTGTTATTGACATTATTTGCCATAGAAACAACTAGCTTGGAGACGGGAACAGCTAGCGAAAACCGATTGAACCGGTTGAATCGGCAAGGCTCTATTTAGAACTAATGAATTAAGGGTTGTTTTCCATGATTCTACGGCTTCTAGCGTCTCCCGGAGAAAGCTCGCTCTTGACCTCGGCACGAGAGCGGATACGGCGATCCTTTCGAGAACAAAAACTGGGGCCCAGCGACCAGATTGCCGGGGTTATGGAAGGGACTTTTCCGTTGCGGTGTAGGAGATCGGCTGAAGGGTGGCGACAGGAATCGGAGCTATTATTTGATACCTGCAATAGGTATGCTCTTCCGGGGAAAGGTGTCATCCGATATTAGGAGGCGTTCAACAGCCATTTTCACCATCTATTGACACTACTCAAACCAGTACCTTTTTCTTCCTTTTGACATGCTCACCGATTCCCGAGGTGCATTTATAAGCAGACCAATTTTCCAAAGACAGAGACATTGCCCAAAGGCACTTGGGTTGGGTTTTAGAAATTATAAAAGGGGCGGCTCAAGTACCGGTATATACCCGCCTTGGTATAACTCCACCAATCCAACAACGATAAAACTTGTATGAAATAGTATAGAACGCCACAAATAAACCTGTAATAGTTCTGGCGTTTTGCCTAAATATCAAGGGAGAGTAGTGGACCACGCCAGGGGCCGAAACAGTCTGGGGCGCATATCAATTCCTTTGTTCGAGATGTGTTTTACGTCGTATACGGACACCCCAAAGGGATACGATCCATGATCCGGCGTTAGCTTTTTCCCAATTCCTACGATTCACCGTCACCTCCTTTGTAAATTCAGGGGCACAAACCGTTGAGCAACAAAAGTACCAAATCCTCTTGACCGTTCTACCGTCGATCGACGTCTTAATGGGAGACTCCACAATTCTTCTCCCCCGGATTCAAGGGGCCACCGTAGTGACTTTTACTATTTTCAATATGCGATGCACTCCACTCCACTACCACATACGCACTCACAATGTATCGTTATCTGGGGGAAAGGGGTGAAGAGTGTTACTTTAGAATCTCTAGAATGTCCATTCCTGATTTCCTGATTTCCTGGGTGTCGGGTCTCCGACGGTGATATAGGGCGCATTTCTCGGGAATTTTGGACCCCTTCGATCGCGGATGGACTTCCCCGGCGTATCTGCTTATCGTAGCGGCACTAATATGCAAAGTACGGAGCAATCGTGTTGTGGTATCAGCAACTCGGTGCTATGTCTAGTATACTTGCATATGGAGGTGCACTATGTACCTCATGAAACGTAGATAATATTCTTTTCGTGACCACGTAAGGCTCTCGGCGTGGTGACTTGTCCTTTTCACCGCTCGTTTATAGATGATTTTGACTATGTACTTTCAATAATAGATTGTAGAGATAGGTCAAAGAGGGGAAGTGATGAGTTGGCTGCCCAGTATGTCCACGGGTCGTTAGATTACCAACATTTTATGTGCCAACGGTTAGATAGATTCGTCAGGTACATTATGTACAACACACCCCATGCATGATTATGAGCTGACGTGATCATGGGCGACTACCTAGGTACATAATGTAGCTATTCAGACTACTTGAACATACATAAGAGCAATGTTGGTCTACCCAACACGCCAGGTCAACTCGTATGCCTTATCGACCGGACGGGGTATCCTTGTAGGTGCCAGACCTTATTGGAGGAGAGGAGCGTATTGGGCAGACCTACAATAAGTGCCCGTACCGCTCCAGCCAAGAATAATAAGGCGAGCGCAGGGCTGACGTGCTCGACACGCAGGGGATACTTCGATCGGAAAAGATCGAGACTAGATAATCGACTCTTCGCTCCCTTTGAAGGGTGCCCGATCTACAGATTGGCACTGACGAATGTTGGATTTGGAATCACGATCTATTCTTGCCCTTGCAGGTCTTCGATGATCTATGTCTAATTATAACATCGCTTAGGCTTGTACCCAAGATCTTCCAGGAACGAGGGACCTACTTTACCTGCCTGAACTCTATGTCACTTCGTTCAACCTTGCAGAGAATATGCTTTCAAAGACGCGACCTGACTATCTTTTAGATGATCTTCTGACCTGCTAGCACGGGTGTCGTATATCGGGACTTGACTGCCCAAGGTCCTCCCTAACTGCTGCTAATCCAGATAGCCGTGAACTTGGCAGCTGAGCTGGTGTCAGACGGTGACACCAATCAGGCACCCGG